AGATAGAATTACCTCTTTCAAAACGTATATCGCGAAAACGTTAGCTACATTTTCGAATCCATCTACGCCTATAGATGACGTCACGGCGTTAGACAACGTCTTATAAGTTAGCGAAACAAAATGAGCGGAATCGATTCAAATTATTTTTTTTATTTGTTGCTCATTTGTTGCTGAAAGTTCCCAAAGAAAAAAATTTGTTGCTCTGTCGGTTTTTTTTTTAAATGATGTTCCACTAAAGGAAGTATAAGTTAGCGGAACAATATACGTATAATAAAAACAATTACGTAAAAATGACGTAGAAATATGTTGCTAATTTGTCGAAATATGCAAGTTACGAATTTGTTGCTTGCAAAATACGTGTAAATAACAATTAAAGACCCTAGCGTGACAGCGGAACAAGAGTGAAATAGCAATAAACAATTCGTTGCTCGCCTAAAATTGGTACCGGGATGTCGTCTGAATTTGTTGCTATCGAAATATAATATAAATAAATAATTTAATTAAGTTTCATATAAAACATAATTTTAAATCTTTTAGGTCCACTGATTTTCATAGAGACGTATAATAAAGACGGAAAAGAAAAATATTTTATGTTAAAAGAATTACCATTATATTTTGAAATATTGATCGAGAATCGAAAAGAAAAGTACACTCTTTTGGCTGTGATAAACTATACAGGACCACGTCATACTAGAACATCTAACCAACAATTAGGGAACTTCACAGCAATATGTCTTCGACCAAACAAAACATGGATTCAGTACGACGATTTAAAAGAAAAAGAACAAACAAACATACAAAACAGATCCGCAATTGTTAATATATGTAACAAATCAAATATAAATTATAAAAAATCTATTCACCATATGCTAACCCACTGGGATTTCTCATTGTTCCTTACACTTAATTTGCAAGCAACAAATTCGTAACTAGCATATTTCGAGAGTAACAAATTCAGACGACATCCCGGTACCAATTTTAGGCGAGCAACGAATTGTTTATTGCTATTTCACTCTTGTTCCGCTGTCACGTTAGGGTCTTTAATTGTTATTTACACGTATTTTGCAAGCAACAAATTCGTAACTTACATATTTCGACAGCAACAAATTAGCAACATATTCCTACGTCATTTTTACGTAATTGGTTTTATTATACGTATATTGTTCCGCTAACTTAAACTTCCTTTAGCGGAACATCATTTAAAAAAAAAACCGACAGAGCAACAAATTTTTTTCTTTGGCAACTTTTCAGCAACAAATGAGCAACAAATAAAAAAATTAATTTGAATCGATTCCGCCCGTTTTGTTTCGCTAACTTATAAGACGTCGTTAGACATACGTGAACGCGTTTTCCGAGCAAGAGAAGCATATGAGAAATTCGAGCAAATTCAATCGAGTATTGAAGAGTTAACTGAGGACAATCAGAGTGCGGCGGAATATCGCGCAAATTTCGAAGAAAAATATTTTAGTGTTATCGCACAAGCTGAGGCTTTACGCATGTGCAATGCAATAAGTGTACACACGAATACGTCGCGTTTGAGCGCTGAAATTAGCGGGGCTTCCTCCACACAAACGCCTGTCGTTCAAACAACGACTGGTCAGAGCGCGATGAATTCTATGGCGGGTATCGCGGCGCCGTTACTCACATATAAACCATTGGGTATTAAATTACCAACAATCGAGTTGCCAAAGTTTAGTGGTGAAGCATCTGAGTGGCTTAGCTTTCGTGACACATTTGAGTCTCTCTGATACATAGAAATGAAACAATTGATCCAATACAAAAATTTCATTATTTAAAGGCAGCGTTGCAAGATGGCGCAGCGCAAATTATCAAATCTTTGGAATTTACCGCGATCAATTACACAGTGGCATGGGAAACTATGTGTTCTAGATTTAATAACAAACGGTTGCTTACATATAATTATATTAAAGCCATATTCGATACTAAGGTGTTAAAAGAAGAATCAGTTTCTCAGTTACGCGAGACAGTTGATATAGTTAGCAAGCATTTACACGCTTTAAATGCATTAGGTCAAGCAACAGAACATTGAGATGCTTTATTGATTTATTTAATTTCGACAAAATTAGATACTATAACGGCTCGTGCTTGGGAAAAAGAGCGTGCTGGAAATGAAGTGCCCACGCTGGATGACTTCAAAACATTTTTAAATTCACGTGCGGATTTGTTAGAGACGTTGGAATTAAACAATAAGCCGGTTAGTAAACTAGATTCCAAAGCGAAACAATCAGATCGATCGAAGGTCAAATCCCTTCTCGTACAAAGTCATATAAGTGTAGTGTGTGTAAAAAAGCGCATAAGTTGCCAATTTGTAAGAAGTTTCTAGATCTCTCACCTCAAGAGAGAGTAAATCATTTGAAAACAGCGAAGTTGTGCTTGAACTGTATGAAGCCGGGGCATTTCGTGAAAGATTGTAAAGCAGGTTCGTGTAGGCAGTGTTCCGGAAAACATCATACTTTGATACATTTCGAGAGAGCATCTTCACCGCAGGTTACGCCGGTTGAAGAAACTAAAGCTGATTCAGTTTTATGCTCGCATAATCAGCACAACACTCATAGTGTTCTATTGGCTACAGCATCGATGGTGGTAGTCGATAATCATAAGGTGAATCACAAGGTTCGTGCAATTTTAGATCCAGGTTCTCAATCCAGTTTCATTACGACTAGGTTATGTAGAGAGATGGGATTGCCTGCATCAAAGATTCAGATGACAATCGAAGCAATCAATGGGAAATCATTCCAAATAGAACATAGGTGTGATGTCAAGGCAAAGGCTCTACATAATAATTTTCAGTTTGACATGCAGTGTTGAGTAATTCCAGAGATCACAGGACAATTGCCAACTCAATACATTGATAGACAAGGGTTGCAAATTCCTAGTAACATTAGACTTGCGGATCCTTCTTTCCACATTCCAGGCAATATTGACATGCTTATAGGTGCTGACTACTTTTGGAGCCTACTTTGCATAGGACAATTGAAAATAGGAAAGAGTCCACTCACCATGCAAAAGACCAAAATAGACTGGATAACAGTGGGTCCGTGGAAGAGTAACTTATCGAAAACTATTAAGTGTAATTTTGGCAGATCAATTGACATTGATAGCAATCTCACGAAATTCTGGGAAATTGAGGAGATAGACGCCGAAAGGACGTGGTCTAAGGAGGAGAAAGAATGTGAGAAACATTTCGTGGAAAACACATATCGTAACTCTGATGGCAGATTCGTGGTAAGCATGCCACTCAGAGAAGATGTCAGTAAACTGGGTGAGTCCAAATCAATCGCTCTTAAACGTTTTTTCAGTCTTGAAAGAAGATTGTTAAGGTGTCCGACTCTCAAGGAACACTACGTTGCGTTTCTAGAAGAGAGATTAGGGCACATGTGTAAGGTCGCTGAGGAATCAGCACATGAAGCTTCGTATTATTTACCAAATCATTGTGTTGTTAAGAATGATAGTTCCACTACCAAGGTACGCGAAGTATTCGATGCGTCCTCACCAACCGATAACGTCATATCTCTCAACGATATCCAAATGGTAGGACCCGCAGTTCAAGGTGACCTATTCGCATTGTTAGTTAGATTTAGAGTTCATTCATACGTTATATTGGCCGACGTACAAAAGATGTACAGGCAAGTGTACATATACAGATCCAAAACAGCGTTCGTTACAAAGGATCTTATGGCGCTCCAGTGATAAGGTTCCTATACAAGTGTTCGAGCTAAACACGCTCACATATGGTACAGCATCGGCATTCCTGGCGACAAGTTGAAGGAGTTAGCTAATCAAGTTGAAGGTTCTTCGCCGAAGACGGTAGGAATCATACGAAGAGACTTCTATGTTGATGACCTCGTGACAGTAGCAGAAACGATTGAACAAGCTATACAAATATGACAAGATGTTTCACAGGTCTTAGAATCAGCAGGGCTTCAGTTGCGAAAGTGGGCTTCCAATGAGCAAGCAATAATTCAAGACGTTCCGAGATAGGAGCAAAATTCAGATAGCATTAACTTCACTAATGACGGTACGACTAAAACGTTAGGTACTACTTGGCAAGCGCTTTCTGATAGTTTAGTGTTCACTAATAAAGAGTTCAACCAATCTAAGGTTACGAAAAGGCAGGTCTTAGCGGAAACTGCACAAATATTTGATCCGTTAGGTCTCATTAGTCCGTTTACCATTCTAGCTAAGATCCTCTTGCAAGAATTGTGGTTGCATAAGTTGTTATGGGACGAATCACTTCCCCTTGATTTACACAATAGGTGGACTTCATTTCGTCAACAAGCACGGAGTTTCAAATCAAAATACCTCGAAACGTTGTAGGAAAGGATAGTGTAGAGATACAATTGCATGGTTTCGCGGATGCGTCTCAGAGAGCATACGGCGCATGCCTATATATGCGAGTTCAAGACTCCGATGGAAATATTCATACGGCATTATTGTGTGCAAAGAGTAGAGTGGCTCCACTCAAACAGCAAACTATCCCACGTTTAGAGCTTTGTGCAGCTCTCACCCTCGCGCGCCTGGTCGCCAAGGTCATTGAGACATTAGATAGAGTGGTCGATAGAATTATCTGTTGGAGTGACTCATCAATAGTTCTTAGCTGGTTAAGAATGAAGCCAAATGCGTTACAAGTGTTTGTGGCGAATCGTGTAGCACCAATTCAGAAGTTAACAGGGTTGTATCAGTGGCGACATGTTCCGACAGCAGATAATCCAGCGGATTGTCTTTCACGTGGCTTAGCAGTAGATAGATTAATACAGTCACAACTCTGGTGGCATGGTCCGTCTTTTCTAGTCAAGGATGAGACTGAATAGCCTACATTAGGTATAGCAGAAGTTAATTTGCCAGACGTAAAAGGTACGTGCTGTGCAATCACAGAACAGATAGCAGAGTCGTCTATATTCGAAAATGGTTCAAATGCCAAACGTTTGATTAGAGTGATAGCTTATTGTAAGAGATTTTCTTATAACTGCAAAAATAAAATGGATCGTAAAACAAACGAGCTTTCAGCGACAGAAGTCATGGACGCGTTCAAAACACTAATCAAGATAGCTCAACAAGAATCTTTTTTAAATCAGGTGCATAGTAACAAGAGAGAATCGATTTTGTTACATAAGAAGTTGAGTTCTCTCAATCCATTCTTTGATAGCGAGGGCCTTTTACGTGTAGGAGAAAGGCTACAAAACTTGGAATTTTCTAATGATAAAAAGAACCCCATGATTTTGTTAGCAAAGCATCGTTTTACTAAATTACTTCTCATAGAAGAGCATACACGACTAATGCACGCGCCACCGCAAGCATTGTTAGCGTCCGTACGGGAAAGATTTTGGATAATAGGTGGTAGAAATCTCGCAAAGAAGGTTATTCACGAATGCATAAAATGCTTCAGAAACAAACCGCAGCAAGCACAAGCAATAATGGGTGAATTGCCTAAGTCTCGTGTAACGGTAACCGCACCTTTTCATGTCACAGGAGTTGATTACGGTGGTCCTTTTCTGATAAAGGATAGAAAGGGCAGAGGTTGCAAAACAAACAAGTGTTACGTGTGCCTATTCATATGTTTTGCCACAAAGGCGATACATTTAGAATTAGTCTCAGATTTGACCTCGGAATGCTTCATTTCAGCGCTCAGACGTTTCGTGTCTAGACGAGGTAAGCCGACTCACGTATATTCAGACAACGGTACCAATTTCGTGGGTGCCAACCGAGAATTAAATGATTTAGCTCAATTTCTATTAAAGGAACAAACAGGTCTCAGTGAGTGCATTAACGACATAGGGATAAATTGGCACTTTATTCCAGCGTACTCTCCGCATTTCGGTGGTTTATGGGAGGCGGGAATAAAGTCAACTAAACATCACTTAAAACGGGTGGCAAGCAATGCATCGTTAACATTCGAGGAATTTTATACATTGATTACACAGGTAGAAGCGATACTAAATTCGCGTCCTTTAACTCCCATGTCGACTGATCCTAACGATCTCATTCCTCTCACTCCTGCTCACTTTCTAATTGGAAAAACCTTAAATTCGATGGCTGATCCAGATGTAACACATCTACCTGAGTCCAGGTTATCTAGATGGCAGCTACTTCAAAAACTGCAGGTAAACTCGTATGAGGTAGACTATTTTATGGACTGTGTACTTTCGACTTTAGCTTGACTGACGGACGAAGGACTTTACGGACGATGAGCGGGGGGCGTGGGGTCGGCATGGGTGTCCGGTTTAACCGGTCCCCCTGCCGATTCCATGCCCCTCTGCCTGGAACCCTGTGGGAGGCGAGGAGCGGGAGAATCGTCGTCTCCTAGCGCAGGGTAAAGGACGGGTGGCAGAGGATCTTGGTGTCCTCCTCTGTCACAAAGTGTTAGTTAGGATGGTAGCGCTACAGCGCTTTTGGGCTGGAGGCGCGGGGAGTTTACTGCAGTATGGATCCACCGCGTCTTCTCTCGGTTGCGCCCCAGGTAGGACACCCGTGTGGTTTTAGTGGATAGGCCCCTTGTCCTGGTTAGGTCGAGGGGAGAGTCACATAACCTCGTCCCTCTCCCCGGAGGGCGGGGTATGCGTAACGCATTTCCACACGTAAAAAAAAAAAAAAAGATCAAGACCAGGTGGTTCGAGTAGCCACTGTGAAGACGTCCACGGGCATTGTACATATCACTATTGCGAAACTATATCCGCTTCCTATTGAAACTGTTACATGTTAGTTTAGCTTAAGTTATCATATCTTCAAGATTTAACGACGAAACGTATTCATTTAAATACATGTGTTATTTGTTTGTAATCACAACGTGATCAAATTTTAGTTTATTAAGCATTATTACAGTCCACTCATGAAGAAAGAGAAACACTTTTGAAGTTTTTGATTGAAAGGCATGCTTTCAATGCCGGGGGGCATGTTAAGAATTCATTAGTTTTTCATTTACGTTTTGTTACCGACAATGTACGGGTTAAGAGCAGTGGCTCTACATTGTAGCGGGCGCTGCTCGCATTAAGATTAAGATGGCGAATAAAGGCTTTTAGAGACGACACGTGCGTACAAGTGCTCGTAATCATTTCTTAAATAAGTGAAACCCAGCAGCATTAATAATCATCCGCAACAGATATCGAGTGCCATAAATAAAAACTCGCAAAATACGAAGCTTTATTCAATGTTGCATCACAAATGGGCGTGTTTTGCAATGTGCGCTATTAAAAAAAAATTGCAACCGCGTTTAGCACTACAAATTTCATGTAGTTGATGATTCTGATTAATGACTATACCGAAAGTTACAGAGCACCATTATAATCATGCTTCCCGTTTTGGGTAGTAAATTCGAACTTCGACCGCGCGCCTCCAAGTGGGCAGTAGATTAATTAATTAAATTTACCGGTTAACGCAACGACCCATAAATTTAATTACTTCGATCACTGAGGAATAAAATTTTGACAGGCAACACAATAACTTTTTCAGCAAACAATGTAAGCGTGGCAATCAACTACTTTCGAACGTTAGTTATGACTCATCGCGTATTATTTGTTGTCGCTATCAATTATAACTTTTTTTTTATTAAGGCCCAATTTTTCATTATCTAATTAACTTGTGCAACACAGGCATAAGCAATCAAGTTAAAACAAAAATGTGTGATACACTAATAATCGTATTTGATTTTTTTTACAATTAATATTGTAGGATGTTATTACAAGGAATGCTAGGAAATAAGTATTCGACGCCGTAATTGAAAACCACGAGACTTCTTAATTGAACTCTTTACTATGTATTACAAGGTAAGCCCATGACACATAGAAAAACGTAAGGCCGTAAACGTAATCAGTAAGCGAATTGACCAATTACAGTTGAGAACGTAAGCGGCCGTCGCTTACGTTCTCAACTGTGATTGGTCAATTCGCTTACTGATTACGTTTACGGCCTTACGTTTTTCTATGTGCCATGGAGTGTACCAGTGTTGCCAACTTAAGCCTACGGCACACGGTGCGTGTTTAGCTGCTGGTTTCGTTGATAGATTTCTTGTGCGCTACTCTGTTGGCAGCTTTGCATGCAATTAAGACGGCATCGCTGATTGTTTACGCTTCATACGAGCAGAAATTACCGGTTTGAAACATAACCTTTCAAACTACGTGTCATAGAGAAAGAGGCATGAAAAGTAAGTTTTTAATAAAATTATATGAAAATTAGTTGGTCATATGACATATTTATATTGTATATTACCAAACTATCGTTATTTAATTGTGATAGGTTATTACTTTTATTTAACTAGCACCAAAACACGCAGCGAAAATAGCACCGTTTCTATCATCGAAAACCAGCAAGCAAATACGCATGACATCACGCAGCGTACAAAATCTCTAGCTTCGTAGCTAGCATGTTTGCTCGCATGGTTAGGTCGCATGCGATTTAACACGAAAAAACGCACCGTGTGCCGTAGGCTTTAGCTATTTTCTGGCTAGATCTAGCTTTTTTTTCTTCGATCTAGCTCGCAAATATTGACTTTTGCTATTAGCTATTTTTCTGGATATTTCTTAAAGATAATACAGAGCTAGCTAGCTATTTCTTATGATTTTGATTCTTGAGATTTTTTTATTGGATACCAATCGTTGTACGTTAAAATTTTCAAACCAACGTAGCGAACATACCCAGAAAGATACGCAATGAGAGCCTAGAGATGGCGGGCCACTCTACACTTTTCTACACTTATCCTATTTGCAAGGACTCATTTAGCAAAAAGTACAGTACTTGAGGTTATATTCTCGTATTTCTGTTATATAAACTAGAATTCTTTAAGTCCCGACTTTATATTGGCATCATCATTTATCAAGAGCGCGCATATTTGTATTCTTCTCATCTGGCATTCAATAGAATACATAGAGTATAAGTAAGTATATGTATAATAAATATAATAAGGTTAATTGTGTAAAATATTATTGTTACAACATATTGCTTTACAATAATTGTTTTAGTAATGGAAAAAGTACGACAGTACACACAAAAATTTAGAAAAGAATGGTTGAAGCAAGATATTTTTGCAAATTGGCTTTTGGAATGTCCTGCCGATAAAACGAAAGCTCTTTGCAAATATTGCAAATGCGAAATTAAAGCAAAATTATACGACTTAATGCATCATGCAAAGACGAAGAAACATATCAGAGCTATAGAACCATTTTCATCATCTAGGTTTCATCAGGCAACATTGGATGTCAAAGTAAAGACCCTAAAAGACTCTATTGCAGAAGCAAAATTAGCTATGTTCGTTTGTAATCATTCTGCTATCTTGTCAATTGATCATTTAAGTATGTTATGTAATAATTCTTTTAATGATTCTTTAGCAGCTAAAACCTTGAAACTTCATTGAACTAAGTGGTATCATACAATGTATATTATATCCTCACTTTCAGCAGGATTTACTGAAATCAATTCAGTCAGGTTTTCATAAATATAACTTATTTTTAGACGAATCTACTGATGTAACTGTAAAAAAAACTTTTAGCTTTTGGCATTAACTATTTTGATACTGATAAAGGAAAAATCATATCTACATTTTTGACATTAACAGAATTAATTTCATGTGATGCAGAAAGTCTTGCTGTTACAGTTAAAGAAACATTAAATAATTTCGGATTACCTTTAGAAAATTTAATTGGTATTGCAACTGATAATTGTAGTACTATGATTGGGATAAATAATGGTCTTTACCAAAAGTTGAAAAAAGATGTTCCAAATTTAATTTTAATTAAATGTGTTTGTCATTCATTACAATTAGCAGTATCTCATGCAACAAATGATACATTACCTCGTGTTTTAGAATATTTAATTTCTGAAACTTATAACTGGTTTTCACGGTCATCTGCTAGAAAATGTCAATATAATGAATTATATAAAAATGAAGGAAAAGAACCAAAGAAAATTGTACAGGCTGCTAATACAAGATGGCTTTCAATTGAGTCTGCATTATCCTCGATTTTAGATCAATATGTGGAATTAAAAACTCACTTTGAAATTACACGCATTTCAGAAAAATGCTACAATGCAGAGCTTTTATATAATATGTATAAAGAGATGAGACAAATTTATTATATTTATTATTTTTAAAACCTATCTTTCATAACGTTCAACAATTTAATAAAGCATTTGAAGCTAATAACGTAGATCCTCTAAAATTATTTAAGGATCTTATCTTACTCATTAACAGTATTAGTAAAATGATAGTACTTCTATCTTATAAAATAGATCCTATAAAGAATGATATTGAACCATTTCTAGATAATAATCCCTATTTGGGTTTTGGATTTGAGAATAAAATTAAATGTCTCAAAGAAGAAAAAAAAATTAGTATTGAAGAAAGAAACAAATATAAGATTTAGATGTAAAACTTTTTTATTGTCTTTATATAAACAAATAAAACAGAGATTACCTGATAACATTGATATTATGGAAAAAATTAGTTAATTTTCGATTGAAAATGTACTTAAACATAAAACTATCAATTATTTGTTTATTAACTGAAATGAATATCGATCCTTTACAGATTTCACAGATAGAAATCGAATATAATAAAATTTACCTAATTAAATGGAATACATACATCATACTGTACATTTTTGGGGAGAAGTTTATAAATATCGAGACGCTGTAAGAGAAAATCCTTTTAAAAACATTGCATATATAGCGTTATTATTTTTGGTACTTCCAGTGTCAAATGCAGAAGTTGAGCGTATTTTTAGCCAACTCAACTTAGTAAAAAATAAAACAAGAAATAAATTGAGCCTTAATATGATAAATTCAATACTTTTACACGCTATGGCTTAAGAAGGCACGAAAAATGCTGCTATGATTATGAATTACCAGAAAATGTATTAAGACGAATTGGCACTACAGAAGCTTATCCCTCAAAATATGAGAATTTTGATTTACACGATTTAATATTTCACAAATGTTTTACTTCAATTTAATCGATGTTTTAATTACATTAAGTTCTATTATATTATATTATATATATTCCTAAATGTTACTCATTACGATAATATATGTTCCTAAATGTTACTCATTACGATAATATATAACATGTTAATTAATAATTTGTTTATTTTATAATAAAATATCTATGTGTAATTATAAAAATTTTCTCTCTCTTACTAATAAATTAGTATTTCTAATATAATCGTATTTT